ATGTTTTCGAATTCGTCACTAAACGCTTCAAGACCTATCGCCACCTCCGCATTATACGCACGACGATGTTGATGTGTTGCAGTGTCATCGTTGGTCGGTAGGGAGTGGAGGAGTTTTCCTTAAAAATTCTGCTCTGGATACGACTGGCGAACAACACGTCGAGGCTTATGGATATCATTGTCGGTCGGAAAAAAATAAACTAAAAAGTCATCGAATCGGGGCCGTGCGGCGGCACGAACGAACCACGCGTACACGTACCTTGTGTATGCAACCGTATAGTACCGAACGTAAGGCGCGTGCTCGGATCACCACACCTCGGCGGCGGCGACAGCGATACGCCGACGTATCCACCACACGCGCAGTCTGTGCGCATCGCCAGTGGTAGAAACCCTCGGGCCGCACTCGTCTTTGCGTACCACCGTGAGCAACACGCGTTCAGGTGTATCATCCTCCCCTCGGCGTACGTCCGCGCCATATACGCTAAACCGTCGCCACGATCGGTCCTTCCATCCGTCCACTCGTGAAATATAATATTATTACGTATTCTCGCGATATTTATAGTCATATTATAATATACGCAGTACGCACACAATTATTGTATTTATAAGTCTGTTGAGATACACATAAATTGTTTTCGTCCGCGTTAACTGTTGCTCGGCGCTAGAAACTACCTGTTGGACATACGTCGCCGTCGCCACCACCGTTGCCGTTCTCACCGGTTTTCCGCGCGATTCGTATAATTTTCGTATAATATATTATTATTATTATTCATGGTACGTAAACCGGCGATCCCGATGACGCGTGCTCCGATTTCTGGTCGTTCACGCCGCCGCCGGCCGTACGTATTACCGTACAGCATATTATATTAATTTATTATTATTTTACTATGTGATCATATCGTCGTTACACACTGCAGCGTTGTGTACCACCACATGGTATCATAATAAATATATATTGTGTGTATGTGCTGCAGCTGCAGTCATATTATAATAACCAACATAATAATATTGTAATGGCGTACGTCATATCGTTTGTCGTAACTTGTCTTAACACGATAGAGTTACGGCACCGTTTTTTTATTTTCCATCCCCCTAATCACAAAGAAATCGTTGAGTCCGGATTTATTTTTGTTATTTTTTGGTCCGATTATAAGCTCTGCAGTCCGACGTTTTGCCAACGCGCGCGTGTATGTCAGGTTGTATATTATAATATTAAATTACACTTACACTATATGTACGTACGTGTTCGGTATAAATATATTATTATACGATGGCGAGGATCGCACGTAAACTGCACGAAGCCCAGTGCGAACCCCTCCGGTCGAAATTCAAAAAAACACTCGATGTTATTATACGATCGTCTTGGTCTGTCGCAATCGCCGCTGGAAACTTTCCTGTACCAACACACGTCTATTGTACCTATAATATAGTATATATATACGGTTTATCTGCTTCCGACACATTGTGTATAGGTACATTTATAAAATCTGTCATTACGTCCAGCCGTGTTTTTGACGGAGAAACGTTTAGACCTTATAGTAATGCTTGTGACCGCGTCAATATACGTATTATATTGCCGCCGTGTATTATTGTCGCACGCCCGAAGAAGAGCATGCGAACGACGTCTGCACGATATATTTAACCAACCAGCTCCGCGAAATACGTCGCAAGTCAAGTGAGTAATATTCTATACGTACTTACGGAAAATAAATATTAATAAAACACTCTACGGAAAACGGGACAATAACCTCGAATATTCTCGATAGGTAGTAGTCTATACTCTAAAATAAAATATAATATACCGTATACGTCATAATATATAGTCGTTCATATATCGTACGGTATTTTGTATGGTACGGACATTATTGTATATTATATATATTGTGTAAGCAGAATAAATTATATGCGTGGGATCATAAATTAATTTTTTCGAAGGTCCTCTTTAAGAAATAAGGAAGCTTTTGATGTCCATAAAAATGTAATGAACGCGTTTATCTAAACTCTAAAGAAAGTAAAGCCAAAATCAAAAAAATTAAATGACAACGAATTAAAACCTCATTTAATCTTACATTAAAAATATTAATTTAAAAAAATTATTTCTTGTCTGTGAGCCTGATAAACTTTGTCCATGGCCCGCGATTTGTTAACCCTTGGCATGAGGTTCTGGCCTTCTGGGCCCATACAAATTTGAACCATACACTGCCCTATTCTCACGTATCCAACAAGTACCTATACACAAAGACTGGTATAATATTATTGGCTATTGCCTCAACCATGGCCCAAATATATAATAATATTATGTGGGTCTGTTATACTTACATAAATTTATTACTTTTTATTCGTGAAAATTTTACGCTGTTGAATTAAATATGGAATTTTTTAGTGCCAAACGCATCGAAATATACTGAAGGCGCCGGCGATTTTATTACTGCGTATATACGCGGCGCCGGTAATATAGTTATATGTATATGCGAGGATATAAAACATACATTGACGATAATCGAAGTATGCAAATTATTATTACGAATCGAGATGATTTTTTGAACAGTTGCACAATCGACAACCGAATCGATTACTTATTGAACCTTTACCGTGATATTTGCAAATAGGTCACGAGTCATGACAGTTTAGACTGTTTCTGAAAAAAGATAAACTGATAACCAACGTTTTGCTTACCTTATACGGGCAATTAATTTATATGAAAAATCAAAATCAATTTTGTATTAGGTACTGATGTTTTTTGTTTTATTAAATATATATTCATATATCGCTAAAAATATTATAGCTGATCTATTTATTTTTTCTATGAGAATGCATTTTTGATAATACCCAATTATTATTATATTATATTTAATAATATTGTGCAAATGTATTTGAGTATCTATTTGTTATAACGATTTAAACATTAATTATTCATTAATCAAGAAATTAAGTTTCACATTAGTGCCAAATATAATACATTTTATTTTTATTATTTATTTGAAGTTTATTGAATTTAATATATTGGTTATATTCAACTATAATTTGATTTTATTATATTTTTTTTAACGAAGTACGTTTACTAGAATTCTTCTGCGTGCATAAGTGTGTATTTGTTAAATGTGACACACTGATACTTTAATTTCATTTTTTCAAAGGTATACTGTAAATATATTTATTTTTTCATTTGCACAACGTATACAGTATAAATACTTTTTATGTGACTTAATGGCCATGTAGCTTGTATATCTACATTTTGTAAAAAATGTATACCAAATAATGAATTTACTCATCGATAACCATGATACACCTAGAAATTATTTTATTAATGCGATATAAGTACACATATTTTATTTTACATAGTTTCATTGACTAAATAGTTGAAATCATATTTACTTTTTCGGAAATATTATTTCAAATAACAAAAAAAAACCCTATTGTAGGTCTGATTGATTATATAGAATGTTTCTGACGTAAAAATGGCATGTTATATTTATAATAAAACCAAATTAATTATATATTTTTTATAACAATTATTATTATCATAGGGTCTATATCCAAACGTTGGGCAATTAAAAAGGTGACGGTTAAAAAATAAAATGTCCATCATTTTTAATGAACATCATGTGTGTACAATAACCGAATGAAGTGGTTTTATTACATTAAACGGGTTGGTAAAATTGAAATAATTTATTACTGCGCTGTAAGCTCACCAGTATAATATTTGAAGAATTCGAAACTTATTTGTCCAACATTTTTATTAATCCAAGTAAACTTGTTGTGCTTGTTTTATTCATACCTACATAATTCATAACCTGCAGTAACCACGAGTACATTCACGGAAATATGGAATAATGTTATAGTTTAGTTAACGAATTAAAAGAGACCTGTTCAAATTAAATCTGTTAATCACCATATGAAATGCAAAATCAATACATTTTTATCAATGTTATCATATTATTATATAGGTAGGTATTAGGTATAGCGATTATTTTGTTCAGTAAATGAAAAAAAAAATAGAGTTTGACAACGATGGAACACAATTTTGTAGTATTGTTTTATTCATTTCAAATACAAAAACTTATCGGTGACATATATCAGCACCATTTAACATATAATTATTACGACATTTATAAATGACATGTTTTAAATCCGACCCTAAAATGGACTACCAGAAAATCGGTGTAATTAACACTCACCCATGTATTTTATTATTAGTCTATTACGATTACCTAATACTTAACTAATCTTATCAATAATATTGATTGATGGCCAACTTCTTTTATAATATACCTACATAAAGCTATGAAGGCTGTTTAGTAACTCTTAATAGGGGGAATGTGTCGTGTAAAATAATTTTCTCTGATTGGCTGAAACACATGATATGATTGAGTTATGGTACGCAGTGCACATGGTGTTGAAGTTAACCGTTCTTATAGTAACTCATACGGTCAACAACTATATAAATGTAGTGTAATGAAAATCTTTTAAGATTCACTCTTCCTAAACGACATTACTTTATACTGTAGCCCATGTAGAACGATAATATTCAACAAGCTCTCTCCACATTCCCTGCACTCTATGCATTTATAAGTTATAATATACCCTATTATGAGTGCACGCTAGCATCTGCGAGTGTTGCGTTTATTTAAAATTATATTAGTGATGGGAACGCGTGTTAGCTACATCCATTATTGCCACCCACCTCTGTCACCGTGTGCCACCGGAGGTTAATCTTATTTCATATTTGAGGCAGAGTATGGATTTATTCGCTCGTTTATTTAAACTTATTTTAAACTATCGAATACCATGTCCCAGTGCCTATCATTAAATTGTATTCAACATTTATTTTCACAGGCGTGTGACTGGAGTTTTCGCGTCGGAAAACGGAAGCGGAGGTGGCGGCGGCGACGTCGACGACAACGACGGCGTCGGCGGCGTTCACTCAGCGGATCTCTCACGCGAACGAAGTGATCACCGTCCACATCGCAGTCGGTAGCGTACATCGCCGACAACACCAACATGTACGCGGCGGCCGGTGGCGCGTCGCTGGCCAGCAGGCGGCACAAGCCCAAGCACCGGAACACAGCGGACGCGGACGCGCTGATCCACCAACAGTTTCAGCGCCGGTTCCAGCAGCACCAGCAACAGTATGCACCAGCGTCCGTGGAACACCAGCTGCGCGCCTCGTCGTCGCTGACGCCGTCCACGCCCATGTCGCCGTTCGGACAAGTCCGGTTATCGGGTCCGTTCGATCCGGCCGAGGTACATAGAGAGCACCTCATCCACTCCCTATCCCCACACACGAACCACTGAGCCAATTCCTTCGTCACTTATATCGCGAAACGTTATTTTCTGATGATGTCTATATATATATACCTATGATAATATGGCTGGTTTGGGACTGGCGATATGTTCGTAATAAAGGGCCATCCTGGACCGTCCAAGGGTGGGCGAGTACGGGGCCCAGGATCTGAGTCTGGGGCAGTTTATACTCGATTCGGGGCATATAGTATTCAAACAAAAATGGGAAAATTGATTTCAAAACATATATTATTATTTTATTTTGTTTCATAATGTAAAAAAGTAACGAAGTAATGGCTTAGAAATACAGTAGTGATATACGTTGTGTGCGTATTAAGTATAATAACTATAATAAGTATAGATAACTTTCGTGGTCGAACATTTCGTGATCAGTATTTCTTAGACATTAATAATAAAATTGTTCAAACTATGTTGCAAAGAAAACTATACTATAAAGCATATAAATCTTAATCCTATCAAATAAGGAATGCATAGGAGATAGGACACATCATGCCAATGTAAATTGTATACAATAAATGCAAGTGAGGCTCTGTGATTGGAATGCCGGTGGACAGTGGACTGAGATGAATTGTCAATGTATTATGTAACTACTATGGACTTACCACTTACCATATTTACATGACCATTGGCCATTCTTCTCCTTCTTCACCAACTCGTGCATTGTCCCAAAAAGGAATACATTGATATTAGTTTTGAGAATACCACGGCGGTGATTCGGCATATTGAGTATCAATATTAAATAATAAATACACAGCGCACAGAGTCATGGGTTCAATTTCCACGCCGCGGACGTGCCGTTTTTATTCACTATATTTCACTTTTATTCACGATGAATTTTATTTGACTATCCAATTTCTCATCAGTGGCGGACCCAGTGCTTAATTGTTTTTTTTTTTGAGGGAGGCAGAGATTTAAAACAATTTACGACATTTACACAATATCTCACAATATTTATATTTTTCACAACAAATTCTAAACGACCTGCCTTATTTTTATTGGCAAGTGGTCTATGTCTATTTAGTTATTGGCATTTAATTAAGTATCAATTTAATCCACTGCATCATTATAGTGGAAAAAAACCCAGTGTGATACATATGGAAACTAAGGCGATTAGGGATAGTGGCGTAATGGGGGAGGGGGGAACTGTCCTCAGCAGCACTTTTTTTGGGGAGCAGAAAATTTTGCTTATAAGGCCATACTTTATTATGCGGCCATCATCGATTTATTTTTCAAGAAATATTAATTTTTAGTATGTTTATAAATTTATATATTGGTAAAAAAAAAATTAATACATTAGGTATACAATTTGCTTTGATTATTTCGTTATTCGTTTCTACTGAGGGTACCTTCGATATTCAACATTCTTGGGCACTCAATAGATTTTTATATTCCATGATACTATTACCAAATCACATGTGTTATAAGTTTTTTTATGGGCTGGAAAAATTGCTACTAAAAACCCGGTGGGGGAAAGGGCATTAAAAAAATGTGTACCCAGGGCAGCAAAATCCTAAATAAGCCACTTATTGGGGGGAGGGGCATTCAACTCCCCCCCCTTGGATCCGGCACTGTCACTCACTCACTCCTGCTCTGACCGGCCAGAAAAACTCCAACTGGAGACCGGCTGTGCCACTAAGTTATTGATATAAACATAAACTATACACCGCTATACAAGTCCTAATCATATAAAATTGAAGTTAATATCCTCTAGTCTATAATTCCTATCCATTAATTTATTAACCTATCGCGTGATGTTTTCGAAACCGAGCGCTATCGTGAACAGCGGCGATTTAGGACGAAAATATTTTTCTCATAGGTAGGTACTGCAATTAATAATTAATAATATAATTGTTTTCCCTTATTTGGACACACGCGTTTAGTAAAACGAACGCCATCGTTATTATAATATATACTGTTTTGCACAACTAAATATTTATTTTAATATTATTGTACTGGGCGATAAGGTTGACAAAAAATATTGACCTTTTTTATACTCACTGTTAGAATAATAATATAATAACATAATATTATTTTTATTAATTATTATGTGTCGGTTGATGGACGGCGCAACATATTGGCAATATAGGTACATATCTGTGTAGAACACTTAAAAAGCATTAGATATTGATGGTGTGTCGTGTGTGGCACAAGTAGACTTCAAATTCTTGTATTATGCTTGTTGACGAAGATATAAAATATTGTATTGGTCGTTTATTTCACTCTAAATGGTAGACATGTTTAAAAGAAGGAAAATTATTACACACTCGTTTGTTGGGCGCTCTTTTCGTGAAACTTTATTCATATTAATATCTCATAATATTATAAAGTATTTATTTTTATTTTTTTAGTAACTATACATGATGCATAAAAAATGCTTTTCCGCTTCATCTGCCGGCCAAAAGGTCTTTCCGTTTTATGTGACTAAACAACACGATATTATCAAAGTTCGTGAAATGAAAGTCTCTTTCGTGAATAGAACGATTTTGTGAAATGAATGCTACATGATATTACCTGTATTATTATACATATTATAAATCTATACATAATGTCATAATCTATATATATAAAAATGAATGTATGTCAGTGTGTCAGTGTGTCTGTGTGTCTGTGTGTCCATGTTACCATGGTTACCAAGGTTGCCATGGTTACTAAGGTTACCAAGATTTCATATCAATTATATAATATTTTGAAACTTATGGACCTTTTAGTTTTTAAATAGTTACCGTGGGTTTCAAAGCTATAATAATAATAGTTATTGGTTGCCAATGGTTTAACACGTTTGTTATTTATTATAGTGCCTAACGATTCATTTTTATAACTGAATTCAATTGCAACTATTATAAGAATTTCTACTATTATTAGTTAATTTATTATGCCCAACAACAAACGATCGATAAATAGTCCCGCAGTTCTAGCACGCAAGAAGCGGGAAACACGAGCCGCGGAAACAGACGAGCAAAGAGAAGCCAGGTTGAGGACCAACCGAGAACGTCAGTCCCTGGCCCGCTTATCCGAGCCAGACGAGCAAAGAGAAGCCAGGTTGAGTACCGACCGAGAACGGCGGTCCCGGGCCCGCTCATCCGAGACTGACGAGCAAAGAGAAGCCAGGTTGAGGACAAACCGAGAAAGTCAGTCCCTGGCCCGCTTATCCGAGCCAGACGAGCAAAGAGAAACCAGAGTGAGGACAAACCGTGAATGTCAGTCGCTTTTGCCATGACCATCAACAAGGCACAGGGCCAATCACTACAAGTGTGTGGCCTAAATTTGGAAAATCCATGCTTCTCCCATGGACAGCTGTATGTTGCCTGCTCCCGCGTCGGGAGACCGGAAGATTTGTATGTGTACGCCCCAGATGGTAAAACGAGAAATATTGTATATCAGAATGCCCTTCTGTAGTTGGCAAGCGTGAACCTGGGCACAAATGATGGATAATCCCTTTTTGATTATGTTAATTAACGTTTTGAGATTAATATAATCCGTAAAATACATATGGAGTAGGTATTTTTAATGGGCGACGAGGTGCACGGGTTCAGCTAGTATATAAATATAAATGATATGGCCACAAACTATGACTGCGAGTTGAATCTTTTCAATCCATATATTTTTATATGGGTTATACTTGATATACTAAATGTATATTTCACTTTACCGTAACTTTCTATTATTTATATTATTGAACCTCTAGGTATTCTAATTGGTTATTACTTATTATGCAAGTATAATACCCAGTATACGTACAAGACAATATACACATTGTGATGTAACTTAATAAACTTGTAATTTGGAGATAAAAATAAAATAAATATAATTAGATTTCCTATTAGTACACGAAGATTGATTTAGATTTCTACATGAATATTTTCAAAAAGAATCATCTGCTTAACAATTTACAGTAAAAAATGGTAGTACCTACTCATTTTAAAAATTGAAATGCTAATTGGCTTAAAATAATTAAAGGCTTATAAATGGTATAATAATATAATCATTTAAAAAGCGGTTCTCCTAAAAATTTCAAAAAATAGAATTTGGATAAATGCATTAGCATTATTAAAGAATCAAAAGGGAGTAAGCATGCTTGGTGTATAACTCTGTATAATATTATACGAATAAATCGTATACTTTCCCGCTCACAGTTCTACCCAGGTGATATTTTTTTGACCCACTTTCGTTGTAGGAGATGACCTTCGTTTTTGAATTTAGAAATCATATCAAATTCTCTATAAGAATTTAAGCTTAACGTTAAAACCAAGTTTCCACACATGAATGCGTCCAAGTGTATTATGTGAAAGAAACATAATATACAATATAGTTTAGTTTACTTAGCTAAAATCGTTATGAATTTGTTTATATTGTGTATTGTGTGTACTACATAGATACGAGAAGAGTGGATATGTCATTTTGTGAAATTGTCTCTTATCACCCCTTCAAACTTTAAACAACTATAGCTAACTATTCACTTAATACGATTGAATCGATACAATTGAATATTATGTTCATCACAACTTACAATATAATGTATAATAATTATTACATTTTGATACATTATTTTCTTTAATTAAAATGCAGACGACTTACCGAATAAAAATACGCAATTATATAAGGTTAATTTTGTTTGATGAAATAATACAATTAATTTTTAAATTTGAAAGCATTAGGAAAATAAAAGTTTAGAAACAACAAAGATGTAAAAAGTTCAAACCGATTAAAAAATATCTTTATCACTTTGAAGAATTCGCATCTATTTTAGTTGTAAACAAGTTTTATTTTTGTCACAAAATAGTAATCAATTTTGAGTTTAAAAAAGGGGTGACAAGTTTTTCCATATCCTTCCATATGTAATAAAAATGAGGTAAGTCAACGTTAATGCGTTTACCGGGTAACTCAAAAAAATATTATGTTTTCGCTGTGATGTGATGTATTTTTCTCATCGCGTAATCCTGGGATATAGGCGACGCGGAATAGGAGGAGGGGTCGACCAAGCACGGTGTTGAAATGAATTCTAAGAAAATTGTGTTTTATTCTACCTCTGAAGCGTAAAAATCCAAATTTCCGTTCCATTAAGTTATTGTTTTGGAAATTTCCACCTTTTTTTTATATCTAAGAAATAATATTCTTAGAGAATGCCAATCCTGTCTCAGCAATATTAGCTCAAAATGTGAATGTTATCCGCTGTTATGTGGCACAATAATAATATATATTCCCATATAACAGTAATGTGTAGACTCGTATATACTAATATATACTAATACACTATTATTATTTGAAACACAAATATTATAATGAATAACATAATGTTCACAATATTTTATATAAACATTAAACAATTCTTGTGTTTTTTTTTATTGCTTACCCTATCATAGTATCATGCACGTTGAGTTTTTAGTTTTTACATATTCGATAAATATTTAAGATGATCAAATCATTATGCACGAAGACATTAATTGCAGCAATTCAATATAATAGTATGAAAACACATTATGTATTGATTAAAAATGAGTTAATTTTGAATCAAAAACATAGTCATAATGTTTCGTTAAAATTGTTTAATTAATATTAAATTTTATACTCAAATAGTATTTTTACCACGTGGCTCATGTTTATAGGTATTGTAGTTTTAAAGTTGTATATATTATAATATTGTGTATTATAAGATATATGATCGTGTTCCTAGAAATGTTGTTTACTGAATACTGCTGGACAATGTATTCATTTTGAAAGTAGTATTTGATTAATTTAATAAATATTATGCCAAAATGATTTGAAAACGTAATGTCGTAAACTTGTATGACTACAGTCGATTATGATTGCTATTGAGTTTAAAAAGAAAAAAATTGTGACAGGAGTTCGTTTTTGAAACTGCAATAAAAAGGCTGTTTTCATTCACATTGTAGATATTTTTTATCTTGTCAAATAATAACGGATATCATAAGAAAGCTACATTATGTAAATCGGCAATAACATAATAAACGGTATTTTTACTAGACCTCAAACATGTGAGCATACACACGTCATCAAATATGCATTATGTCTGCGTATATAACATAGATAAATATGTGTATTGTATATATAGCCTATAGTGAAATATTATATTTCCAAGAAGTGTAAGCTGTGGTATGGATTATCATGTCAAAATCCTGTCGCATTTTTAGAAGACTGTCATTAAAAAGCCACGAAATCTGTTCCGAGCTAGGTTGTCATGAAAATAATATCACACGTGGTTAATACACATCGCTTGTCATCGCTGTATATATTATATTGAACTAAATTATTTCATGCCTTATATTTTTGGACGTAAGTAGAGTATAATTTTTTTGCAAAGAATTTGTTTACAATTGTTCGAAATTTGATATCCCAACGCATGGTTTAACATCAAGTTATATTAACGTTATTAAAATTGCACGATGGTAGTAGAAAATATGAAATGTCATCAAATATTTAATGATTAAAATATCAATGTCATAATCTACAAATTGAAAAGTAGATTGCAAACTTCCGTTATATTAGTGGTAATCTTTTTTTAAAACTTTTATCTTATATCGTTAGAAGAAAATATGTAATCATCGATTTATTTTATAATTTTGTTTTTTTTTAACATGAATTAATTCACTATTTAGATTTTTTGCATTTAAAAATGTACGTTCTTTAATTAATTATGACTTATGAGTATGTAAAGTATAAATAGTTGAGTTAGGTATAATGTTTAAGATAAAAATTAAAACATTTAAATTTTTTAGTTAATTATTTCACGAGTTTTTTTCGTACAGATTGAATGTAGAAAATATATCATCAATCGATAATGTATGTCGTCGTGTCTTATGTAACGCATTGTTTTGGAAAAAGCTCTGTCTAGATCTAGAACTACCTACTTATTATAAATTATAATATATTTTATTGTATAACTAAAATCATATTTTAATGATATAAAAATGTAGTTTGCAAAAATAGAAAAGAAAGTGTAAAATCAAGCGTGTTTAGTGATTTTCTAACTTTGGTGATCAATATTATTAGCGATAATAATAAAAATATTGAATTAATGACGTATTAGGTTCTCTGCATAATAGTTAATAATATGCTAACAAGTAACAACAAACGACTACGTGTTGTAACGTACCTATAAAAACGGATTGTAGTAAAAACGCATATTCGATTTCCGTGGGGATTAACTTCTAATATTATACTACGTGATTTGGATATACTGATATAGTAATATTATATTATGTAGTCTATTTATTATATTATATGTATGTTTGTCCGAGTTGTTTATAATATTATATCATATCATAAGTTCTCGGACGACAACATTTATAAATAACACCCAGGCTTCCTTTGGAGTGGGGCTGGAAAAGTGTCGAATTGGAAATTAGAACTCGGACGTAATAATATACACTTTATATTGTGTAGGTGCATAGATGTCTACTTGGTGACGAAATAATTAATTAAAATCGTTACTGTAAGCCCCGTGGGTTCCGCGGAGTGGTTGCCGTAGAAAAAAAACGTGCTCGTTGTGTAGGGGTATACGTGGTGTATACGATGTATATAGTATTACACAAGCTCCGAACGGTCAATTAACCGAAGGGTTATAATTACTTTCGAAACCGAAAAAACATAACGCGGTCGAATTCGATCAATCGCCGTCCCATCGACCATCGACGCAATATAGTATATTATACCTATTATGTATACTGTATAGTGTATCCATTTTTTTTTTTTTTGTTCTTCGTATATTTATATAATATGTATTATGTTTATTATAGTTGTCATTTATTCGTCGTTAAGCCGTGACATCGAATTAACCTTTTGATTTAGCAGTCCGCTACTAAATTACCGCACTCTTATTCACTCACCCTGCAGCACTCTGACACTCTCTCACTGTCTCTCTGTCTCTTTCGCTGTCTCTCTTTCTGTCACTATGTCTCCTACTCTCTCCCACGGCCTTCCTCTACCCCTCCAGTTCCATGTATTGTACAGGGTGTTTCTGGTTTCAGCGATTTTTGTGATATTTTGAGAATCGTAGTTTCACGGAAACGATGTGTGGAACTGAAATTATATTTTATGTTGTGAAAATGTGGGACTTTTAAGGATACTTGTACACTACTATGACGGTTTGTACATATAAGAATTACTTTACATGGTTATTCTACACATAATTCAAAACATCCAGGAGTACAGTGGCAGATTTTCTATATTTATCCTAATTATCCATCATAATATATTAATATATATTTAATCAGAAACTAGAGCGACGCGAATTCGAATTTTACACATTTATATTACATGTATATACTTCTTATTTTACGCACTCGATAACAAAAGACAGTTCCTATATAGCTTATGTATTTGTAAAAATATGAACAATTAAAAATGATTGTATATAATATATAGTATATATATTATATACTTTTCCTGAACCTCACCCCACTATAATTCCGCCATTGATCCCGTATTTTTATAATATAAACACGTACGTACATATATAGGTGGAGTATCGTAACGACGTCCTAGTCGATGATCGCTATATAATATACAGCGCACGCGCGTTATATGTCGGCAAAACGTCGACGTCGGTGTAATGACGTTTTTCGCGTTCCGGATACGAAAAAAAATTTAAAAAATAGAGACGAAAAACAAAACACTCTCTATACTAACAGGTGCGGAAGTCCTTCGTCACGGCTGTTTTAGAGTCGTTTTGGTCGCCGTCGCCGCTCTCCCAGTTCCGTCGTGGGAGCGTCCAAACCGTGCTGGACGACCGTCTCCGTGGTGTATACCCTGCGTACCGAGGACAACAGTCAGACGGAAGCGCACGATAAACGGATGGACGTCGGACCGGCTGCCGTGGCGGCGGCGGCGACCGCCCCGGAAACGACGACGACGTACCAATCGCGGCCGGAAGCGTTCCCGAGCCGCGGTGAGCACCAGTGATGGCCAGCTCAGGTATGCACGCCGCACTGTACATACGAGAGAGGCAAAAGATCCGCGTGAAGAGGATCCGTAGGGATAGGTTCCAATTGCCCAGTCACGTGGCCACCAAGAACATCGCCCCGTTCCCGGAGTTCCCACCTACCACGTGGGTACGTATAACGTATACGCATGAAGTATTATTTTATGCAAGTGCAGCCGTACAGATTTAGGTCGATTCGTCTTAGCGAAAAAACACAATATGTGGACAATTATATTGGCCCCGTCATAATTGTGTATAGGTATGAACAATAATTGGTTACTGTCCAATTTTTGCTACTGTCCAGATCATATTAAATATGTAATATTCATCAAGAAATATTGATTATTATGTATGTGTAAAGTGTAGATCATGGTATATTTCAAAATAGTTTGCTAAAAATACAGTTATAGTGGTTGAATTGGAAAAAAAATGAGGACTGATTGAAGCTTTTTTGAACATTTAGAGTTCCAAAATACTTGAATCTAAAAGTAACTAGTAACCACAGCCTCTTAGTCGTATCTATAGACTATAATATTACTAAGTAATACTTATTTTCTATTACTCTATTACAATGAATGAAAAAAAAAAGGTTGATCTTAAAACGGTTCTAACTTGATTTTTCTTAGAGTTTCCTTTCTCTCGCTCTGATTTTCTCAGCACCGCCCTTTCTTTTAGTTTCAATTTTAAACAATAAATAGGGAAGTAAAAATTACAAAATTACAAATCAACACATGACAATAAAATAAAAAACAAGTAAAAAGTTCACTTTTCTGAATTAAAAAAGTTACATTATTGAACATACAAAACTGTACCTATATAGTCATCATAGTCCTATACTCTATAGTTATCAGCCTATTAATCCATCAATAATATTATGCACTTATATTACAAAGCTTAATAAAATGCCTAAAAAAATTAAAAATCCAATTTAAATGAATATAAAACAGAATTTAGATAGGTATATTCGTTATATTTTGAGTTTCATTATAGCACTGGTCAATCAGCTATTTAATATTTTAAAATAAAAAATGTTGACAGCTAATTACTAATAGGCAAGTGTGAATTTCTATAACTGAAATCATGGCATCGATCATAATACGTAATAAAAATAGAAATATTACTAAAAAAAATTACGTATACCTATTTAATTTTTTTTTTTTTTTGAAGGAATTTTAGCTAAGTTTTTATAAAATTGTCTTCAAACAGTTCAAACCATATAAATGTCCTAAAACTGCTAAAAAAATAATCTGAAAATCAATAAAGCTTTAAAAAAAATCATTTTTTCAATTCGTTGATGTATGAAACAAATATTTGCTTGGAAAGCAATCTGTTAGAAAATTCAGAAAAAATAAAATTTATATTTAAATCAGTGACCTAATTATAAATAATTCTGATGCATTGATGCTGAGGAGTGAGGGGGTGGACAATCAGCCGAACCAAAATCTAAAATCTTAAGCACCTATAATATATGCAATTTTTCACACACGCTTCATGATACGAAAATAAAAAAATATTTATAATTCATATTTATACCGAATTTGTCTTCTATATTAATAATTATAAATATATAATAATAACAAACTATTTTTTCAAATGAATTATGGTGCAAAACAAATCGTCAATAACATGTATCACAAAGAAGACAAAATTGGCCAGGGAACAATTTTCTGTGTAGAAAATGATAACGGGGCCAATTGTTCTTGTATACAATGTATTATCGCAATGACCAATATAATTGTCCATTTATCCTATACCAATATTATACGTTGTGCCCGGTGGAGTAACCAAGATATCACAAGGTGTGGTAATGCGGTTGGACATTAAGTGAGGGACTGGCCATATGTTTTTCTTTTAATATTATACACTATGTTTTAAATTGTTTCTGACAATTCAAAACAAACTTTAATTTCATTTTGATTTTATGAACCTGTTGTCTACAATATTGATTATTTTATTGCCTTCATTCGAGTGCGTGAGTAAGCATAATAATATATGTTATCAACACAGTGTTCACTGTTCATGTGCACGGTAGGCGCGATAGTAAGCGATGTGACACTGATGATAACTGGAAATTCAAAATATTTAATTTGTGTTTTGCAAATAGCATTATAAAAGGGGGGATATTTAATATCCATAAGTTCGTCATAGGACTATATATAATAACGTTATAGTTGAAACTTCATAGTTTTCACTCAATGTACGATGTACTGCTGTCTGCTACAGTGCTACGTATATATTGTCTACTCGTTGGAATCCATGAAAAGATATTTAATAAATCATGTACTAATACTTAAAAATAAAGTATATATTATTATTGTCTCAGAGTAGTTATAATGTCATGTCTAACAATAACGTCTATAACATATCACGACTGAAAACTGGAAACGACGGGTGATGACGCTATATACGCACACACTCCATTTACACGAGCGTCTGGTAAGGTAGGGGTGGTTTATTTATTTTGTAATTTTCTTATTTTTTTTATATAAAAGTATCCTATTCGAAGAGGGAAAAAGTCAATTGCCCTGAGGCGTTGACGACACTTTCCGCCCCCTCTGACACAAATCAACCGACCGCTTTTATGTCACTATATAGAACACACACACACACATATAATATCTTACAAACTAAACAAGAACACATGTATAGTAGAACAGGTGTGTGTGTGTGTGTGTTTTTTGAAAAGAAACCGAAAATACTAGCTAGCAACGTTTTAAGGGTTTTTACAATAAATTGACCGCGACAAACATTATTATTCCACTTACACTCACACCACACACATACACTTTGTGCGGTCTACCGGGTCGGACAAACCCGTACCCTCTACCTTACCCATCCCACGTGAGAATTAAATTCGATTAAGACACGACGCCATGGCACTATATACTAATAATAATACGTGTGCGTTACGGTGTGCGGTCTGCAATCCGTTTCGTGTAGGTGACGGTGGCTAATTCTAGTCGTTTTCGTTGTAAAAGTTTCAAATGTAGGTGTAAGCGCACAACAGTGGTTGTAACTTTATGTACCGCATTACGACGTTATTGTAGGATATTATATAATTGTAATGTAGCTAGATGATAAAACATTTTCCGATAACACAACGTGTAGGTATGGGAGTGTCAAACGTTTTTTTTTTTTTTTTATTCCATTTGATATTCAAAAAGTTCATTGGTCTCAAACCATATATATGTATGCATCACTCCCGTGAGTGGTATACAATTTTATTGAAAGTGAAAACTTTCCCCCAAGAGCTAAGTTTTTCCTTAATAATTTTAAATTACGCGCTTAAACGTGATTACCTCGCGGTCTAAGACATGCCACGCTTACACTTTTTAATATACTTACAGTCATATCCAGTGAGCTTTTATTTTAACTTCATACTATAGATTCTGAGCGGAGTGATTAATGTATTGATTTTATAATAATGTGTGTTATTTTTTTCTTTTGTGTCTGTTATCACCGTTTGGGGCAGTAACACAACAGTGCCTTCAACAATATCTGGTTTGATGAGAAAGTGAATAAAGTTGGTGCATTTGGGAAGTCAACATTTAAAATTCTTAATAGTTTTCAAAAGCCCAGGGAAAAACAAAACAAAAATTAAGGAAAAAAGGTAACTTTTGAGCAAAATCGGTTTTCGACAAAATCGATTTTGGTTTTTGAAGTAACTCTAAAAAAAATAATTGTAGATAGGTTGTATGACATTTTCACTGAATGGTTTATATAAGCACTTTCTATACACAATACAATTTTCAAAATATTTTGACTTGTTTTGAGTGGTTTATGGATATTTTCAGTTTCCAGTTTTTTTAGTTCTTTTTTTATAAATGTCAATAAAATTGTAATCGTTGGGTTAAAAAGATTGAACATTTAATACAAGGCTCCTGATATATTGTTACAATTTCAGTCCTAAAACATTATAAACACATAGTCATAGTTTTATTTTTATAAACATTTAAAGTTCAAATTTTGACAAAATTGATCAAATTTTAAATGTTAAAATGATTTTGTAGTTAAAAATGTATAAAATTTTGAAATTGTATATAGCAAAGGATTGAAAATGTAAAACAAGGTTCCACGTAAATAAGTAAATAAATTATTTTATTCACAATAATATTATCAAATATACTTAGTCATATACCATCGTCTCTCAGAATCGTTTTTCTCATGTAATGATATTACCTATATCTTTGAATTCAAATTTTACACCATCCATTACAGTGACCCGCTTGTAACCTACTATACAGCAGAGCGACACCCACTTGCCCACCTTTTTATAATTTTAAATTGATAATTTAATAATTTATCAGTTATAGAAAATTACATTAATATTTTATAAATTTTTACATTTCAGTGTTATCCTAAAATTAATCATTAACAATATCCACCAATATAATATAATTATTTTTCATTCTATTTGGAGTATGCTACTTATTTGTCATTGAAAATTATTTTTGATAAATACCTGTACAAAATCTACAGTTCATATTTTGGATTATATTGTAATATCATCTCATAACAATATTGTACTTAATAAAATGACTGCAATTATGACAAATAAAATTATATATAAATTATATGAAGAAGAATATATTGAATATTTGAATGTCATTAATATTCAGTAGGACCAATGTACCTATAATATATTATAAATAATAAAAGAACATCTAAATAAATCATTATTGATTTAATGGATTTTATTAAATACTGAATGCGAGAAACAATTTAAATTTCATTAATTTTGTCAGAATCACAGTGTAAAATAAATTACTGAATCTGACACCAATTCACTTTGTGAGTTATATTTTAACTGTACTGTGTTTTTGTAGTCGTTGTAAAAGTAGGTACCTAATTTATAAAGGAGTACGCTGGAGCAACGTTATGCTTATCTCAAAATTACCATAGTCCTTTGTTTAAATCACGAATGTCACATAAAATGTATATTGTTAAGAAACACGAATTCGGATTTATTTTAATAGTATTTAACTCCCGTGACATTTCGTGTCAACCTTACAAAAAACTACTTCTCAAACACTTTAAAATTAAGAAAATCCTATTACAATGTTCGAGAAAACGGTCATTCAATATAATTATCTTTACAGTAGGTACTAGGTAATATGGTTTAATATGTTTTGATTAAAAGAGAAAAAATAATTTTAAAATAATTTACTATTGCCCATATTATATGTTTATTATATTATATTTTAGATTCTGAGTGAAACGATGAATGTATTGATTTTACAATGATGTGTGTTTTTTTTTTATTTTTTTATTTTATTTTTTATTTTTATATTTATTTTTTTTGTGTCTGTGTACACGATAAGTAGTCGAAATAATGCTTCGATTTTCGACTTCAGTATCTTGTTCGATTGGAAAGTGAATATCGTTGGTGCATTGGGGAGGTCAAAATTTAAATTTCCCAGTAGTTTTCAAGAGCGCCGGGAAAAACAAAAGAAAAATTAAGGAAAAACGGGAATTTTTACGCAAAATCGATTTTTCAGAAAATTGAATTTGGTTTTTGGTGTAACTTTAAAACAAATGACCGTAGGTACATGCAATTTTCACTGGTTGTTTATATTTGCATCTTCTATACACGATAACATTTTCAAAATATTTTGATTTATTTTGAACAGTTTAGGGACATTTTCATTTTTAGTTTTTTTTTAGTTTTTTTCTAGAAATATCAATAAAATTTTATTTGTTGGTTGCGAAAGCTTGAAAATTTAATAGAAGGCTCCTAATATATTGTTTCAAGGGCAGATGAAAAATATTAAAAATCCTTAGTCACAATTTTTTTTTATAAGCATTTAAAGTTCAAAAATTGACAAAATATGGAAAAATCACGAAAATTAGCAAATTATTTTGAGTTAAGAATTCGTAAAAATTTTTCTTTTTAAATCTAAGATTTGAAAATCTAATACAAGATTACTCATAAGATTGTCTACCTTTATCAATAAAAAAATCTCTACCGGAAAGTCAAATTAAATTTTTATGAGCGTTTGAAATTCAAATTTTTACAACATTGGATATTCACTCGATTTCTCATGTGGCAATTTCCTTTTTTTGTTGTAATTAAAAAATGAATTACTGTAGATACATGAAAATTTCACTGAATGTTTATATTAGCATTTCCTATACACCATACAATTTTGAAAATATTTTGACTCTTTTTGAGCCGTTTACGGACATTTTCAGTTTTCAATTTTTTTAGTTTTTTTTTCTATAAATATTAATTAAGTTTTATCTGTTGGGCCAAAAAGTGTAAAAATTTAATACAAGGCTCCTGATATATTGTTACAATATCAGTTGAAAAATATTAAAAATACATAGGCACAATTTTTTTTTATAAGCATTTTAACATCGAATTTTGACAGAATTTTTCAAAATCTCGAAAATTATTAATCATCGTAATTAATAAATTATAAAATGTTCAGTTTTTATAGCTAAGGATTGAAAATTTAAAACAAGATTCCACGTAAGTAGTTAATTCTCTTACCGAAAAATCTAAAAAATATACAATCACAGTTTATTTTTATAGTCATTTTATGTTCAAATTTTGACGAAATTACATATTAAAAAACCTAGTTATTTTGTTGTGATTATATAATATTATTCGTTGGTACCTACTTGAAACTTCTAAAGTGTACTATTATATATATATGATAGTATCAGGGTTTGTTGTTGGTGTATAACGTGTTATTAGTACCTAATGGATATTGTGATAATGTGATATGATTAATTTGGAATTTATTATAGGTCAATTTTTTTTTAATACCATAGATATGTATATAATTTGTCTTAACCTAGACTGACATACCGTCTTCGCTCAGAATCGTTTTTCTTATACAATGATATTGTATCATTGAATTCAAATTTAATAGCATCAATTATACAGTGACCCACTTGTAACCTACTGTACAGCAGAGCGACATCCACTTACCCACCTTTTTTTTTTTTAATAGGCTAGGCCAAAATATGATTTAAGTATTTACACAGAATGTAATGAACAAAAAATTGAGAAAAAACAATAAGAGAATCAATACAATATGATAAATTAATATCTAATATAAACACTAGCAGTTATTTTTAATAGGTACATATGGATTCTAATATTTCTACAAATTTAAACAAATTATCTCAAAATTAAATCGATCAAAACTTTATTTAATAATTATTAATTAATAACATAAAGTTAAATATATTCTTTGATTTTAACTGTTAACTATCTTAACAATGAACATTATACATTTACTGTAAAGACAATGCTATACTTTTTCTTGTTTAAAATTCAAAATATTTATTTAGATCATATTTAATGGACTGAAATCTTATACCTACCTAATTCTGAAAGTATTTCGATTTCGAAACCCAAATCTAAAAGTATTATAAAACGAAATTGAATTTGGAGTAGATCAGATAAATATTTTTATGAAAATTGCTTAAATATTATTTTATAATATATATAAGAGTCATAAACGAAACCGTATTTGATTTAAATATTTTCCGTGTTTCATGCATTGTATTCAAAGTAAATGTATAAACTATATACATACAAATACAACGATATTATTGTCATTGGGCATATTATAAATATTTCAGAATAAGACAGCAGCGTCGGTGGCTTGGCCTGGACCAGTCGGTCCGTCTCCAGACAGCGATGGCTCGGCACCAGGTGGTTCCATACTCATACACCTGCCGGCTGACCCACATAGGAAATGGACGAAAAAAAATAAGGCAAGTGTCTGTTGTAATACTCGTTATTTATTATTATCTATATACAACACATGCCGTGTATAAAGTACACACACTTACACGTCACAAGTAAAATAAATAAATAAAATCGCGTTTTTGTTGAACAAAAAAAAAATAAAAGTTTAAAAAGAACGTGTCCCGTTCGACGAAAATATCCTGTTACATTTTTTTATTCGAAAAACATAAACCGTTGCCCCAATTTCACGCAATTCGTGAATAGGCCCATTACAATCTTACCATTATTTTCAGTATAGAATGCAGGAGTCAGAAGAGAATAATCATGAGGTAATCGGAAAAAAAATCCCCCGACGAACAAGCCCGGAAAAAATCACCGACCCTAGGAAAAAAAATCCCCAGCTACAATATTACTGACAATCACATGCAAATGGTTGAACAAATATATTTTAAACGTTAATTAGTATCTATAATTAATATTTAATGACAAATACGTATATTATATTCTATTATAATATAATATATTATATTGTTAAAAAAATTATAAAAATATTTATAATGATCGATACGTCAATTAATAATACAGTTAAAAACATAGTATACAAAATATAGGTACCTATATATTTTATGTAGGTATAATTCTGTAAAAATTGAATTCCCGAAATAAAATATTGCGTTTTCTGTGACATTTTGACGATAAGTGGTTTAGTATGTACCTTTGATAATATATAATATAAGGTAAAGTTAGTTATTTAACTTGAATTACACATAATATATTATCGTAATTTAAAACAAAATATTATTTATAATATATAATTTTTTAACAATATAATATAATATAATATAATATATTATATTATAATAGAATATAATATACGTATTTGTAATTAAATATTAATTATAGATACTAATTAACGTTTAAAAAATATTTGTTCAACCATTTGCAAGAGGTTGTGAGTAATATTGTAGTCTGGGGATTTTTTTTCCTAGGGTCGGGGATTTTTATTCCGGGATTCAATCATGATCGTGTATCAATAGTCCCTTTTATACCTAACGAGGGAGGGGGTATCAGACACACAACAATTAATAAAAATTATAAAATGCATGTTGGCCCAAAAGTCACAACGAAATATCAGCTATGCATGCATGCGCTACCATAAAATATTATCCATTATCACACGTTATAAAAAATGTCTTATTTAAATCCCTCCAAATGTTATCAATATAATACATTTGTATGTTTAAAGCAATTTTTCAGATGATTAAAAAATCTATTTTCTTGTAAGTACAATTATAGTACTTATGTATAACTAAAGTATATAATAACTGTGTGAATTAAGTACAAAACTTTTTATGAGTAATGTAAATAATTCAAAAATTATTTGGGGCTTTAATTAACTTATTTATTTGTTATATCACAGTGGTTAAAGTGGGGTTATAAGTACTCAAATGGACTCAGTCTCCCTACTTTTGGTTGCACTTAAAAAGTGTCCCCTATAACGTGGTATGCTAGTACGCTCAAGCATTTATGTTGAATCAAAATAACCTCCGTTAAAATAATTATTTATGCACTCATTTATTACTCATTATTTGGATTTTATAATAATTTGGATTTGACCTACTAGCGCATTGAGACAGGAAGAGGTGAGAAATAAGTACCTATCTACTCGCCTCCTGTCACAATTCACCACTAGTGAGTCAAAACCAAATAATAAGCAATAAATGATTGCATTGGTGTTGCCTATGGCCTATCTATAGTGTTATTAAATCTGTGCGATTAGGTTTATATTTTATATTGTTTTGTTTCAAAAACATATTTTTTTACTTATGACTGAATATTTTGTCGTGTTACAGTCAGGCACAGTTTATATTCTGTATGAATGATAAGATAATGGTATAAATTAAAAAAATGAGAAATGTACATGTTAATTAAATTAATAAATATGGGGTACTAATTTAAAGATAAGAAATACCAATGAACACAAATATCCTCTTACGCCATCGGTTACGACAACATAATAAAATTAGAATTTTTAAGTTATAAGAATTATTTAGGTTTACACTCATGGAACGATCAAAATAATATAGATATCACAGTATATCCTTTGCAATTTCGTGCCACTTAAAGTCCTGAATACCTATGTATACACCTATTACTAGGGCTCGGAAGTTGTAGGAGCTAAAAAAGGTAAAATATGCACGAAAAAATTGCAAAATATGCATTAAAAATGTTAAATATGCAAAAATATTATTCCAAAAATTCAAAAAAATAAATACATCAGATTTTGTTTACAAATTAATTATATACATAAAAATTATTTATAACTAAAAAAAAGTATAACTGGTTGGCATTTTGACATCTTATTGAGCTAAAAATAAAATTAATAATATTTTTTCAGTATTTTTTAAATTACGAAAAAAATACATGTTTTCTAATACCTGTTAAGTTATTGCATTGAACCACCAATACTTTCTTAAGATTTTCTATTTCAAATGAACGACGATTATTCGATAGAAGATTCTTATATCGAGAAAACGATCTTTCAACGTCAGTTGAAGTCATCGGAGCATATTTATAAAATTTTAAGTCATCGCCTGTGAACTCTTCCGGAACTCCATCCATTGATTCACTATCTCCCGTTAGTATCATAGAAATCTTTGTCATTGTCTCGAAACCGCGGTTTTTTTTCCAATACATATCTTAACTTGTTAATAGGCTATTACCTATATATTTTATTTATTATATTATAAATACGTGTCGCACCGCCTATAGAGTCGTTTACGAGGTTATGTCGTGTACACGATCACTGCAACCTAAAAATCGATACCTCCGAAAGTCCGAACTAAAATCCACCCGTTGGGACGTTGGGTAATGCTTTGGTAAATTTCTTTACGAGTGACATTACACCGCCGACTGCCGAGTCACGCAATTATAATTATTATGACGCCTGCACGCGTGCAGGAAACCCGTACAAGCAGTATTTATATTTTATATTAACTACAGTGCGGATTACTCGAATGCAAAACGGTATCTCTAGTTAATAATATGCGTTAGCAGCTGCTAATAATAGTAGGTAATAGGTATTAATCTCGATTACTCACGAATCGTCAACATTGCGAAATTTGTTTCTCCCCTTCGACCCCATTCGAATTATCATGATCATGACCATCCGAGTAATTTTGCTTAATATACGATTCCCACCACCACAATAATAATAATATTTATTAATTTTAATAAAATGGTTGGAATCCCAATTGAACAGATGAATACATAAATTAAATATATAACTGCAGGTTAAACAAAACAAAATATTAGTATATTAAATAATTATATTTATATGATAGAGTAATATTATATAGTACAAATTAAAAATAAAACAAAAAAGTAGTAATAATAGATGCCTATAGTAATTACAGACAATTCAATTATATTGATTAAACTAATCAACGAATAAAATATACAGTAAAACTTACCTAGTTTTCATATTCAATGGATAAGTGAAAAAATCAAAGCCAGGAATTAATTTCACGTATGGACATAGCTCTAGATAGGGGTGAGTATTATGGAAAATGAGTAGGTATTATGATATGAGATGTAGACAATTATGGGAGATCTGTGGAGTGAGGACTGTGATGATGAAGATGGACTAAACGGGATGTGGTCTAATAAATACATAGGATTAACGTGGCCATTGATAAGATTGAAAATTAATGATATATCCACCACTTCACGTAGTCTTGTGGCCAAAGCGAGCAATTGTATGCAAACTGGATAGCAGTTGTGCGGTTCCAAAGGTAGATTTAATTTAACGGCTACGAATTTCAAGGAAGTGTTTTTGAACTCGTTTAATATACTTGTATTACAAATTAAGATTAAGGGTATTATAGCCTATATGTATATATGATTAAAAGGCCTTCTATATCTGTACATAATCTGAATTTCGCAGAGCATAATGAACCAAACCAGTAGGTATATATTATATTATATAGTATATATTACGCGAATACCTACGTAAAGATATAGTTCTTCTCAAAATATAATAATTGTACTAAAAAAATTACAATTACACGAAGCAGATAAACACACAGTTATTTATCATGTAATATAATATTAATATACATATATAAAAAAACAAGTTAGAACTCTGTGATCGTGCTAAATTCCCGATTTCCAAACAAATTTCAATACAATGCTGATTGCTGAATGCATTAAACTATAATTCCTTTAACAGTTTATGTACAATAATTATAGACAATAAATAAATATGTTAATACCAACAATCGCAAACTATTTATTAATAATTAACAGACGGGCACTAAGGGGATATAAATTATAAGGTGTTCTAAGCTTATGTTTAGAAACCTATAAAATTGTTAATTATTGGGAAATATATTAATGATGACATGCGATGCGTTAGTAATATATGCATCGATTCCCAGAATAGTATATTTATATAGGTATAGAATTAATTGTCAAAATGTATACGTAATTTATCTCCTTGGCTGAACCATATAAATAGAGCCTAAAACGAGGGTGATTTCATACGAAAATTTACTGAGTTTGTGTAAACACATCCAAGTCGACCGACGTCAGATTTAATTTCTTAAAACACTTGAAATACTTTAGAGTTATTAAACAAAAATTATTTGACAATTGTTTGTAAATTGTTTCAACTACAGACCCAAGCCCAGTCCATTCCAACGATTGTTAATATTGGCAAGCAACATATCCTATACCTATACAAGAGTTCGGAATCATAAAATAAACGCTCAACCACTATTTTCGTAGCCCTTAAAACAATATCTGTAGGGTACAAGAACAACAATATAATGTTATATAATATTATAATGGCCATTATATCCGAGCTCGAGAACAAACAAAAATGTTATTGTATATAAACGAACCTACTCACTGCGCGCTTTTGCACCGGTGCCATTGTTATATCCGCGATAATATTATGGTTTTAAGATTTTTTTTCACGCTCTACCACTATTGAATTTCCATTTATTTTATTTTGTATTTTTCG